CAGAGGCAGGGATGGGAGGAGGGGGAGGGCCGCGGGAGGCGAGGCGCGGGGCGCTTCCTCTTCAGGACCGCGGGATGGCTGGGAGAGACGCGGCGCCGGAGCTCGCAGGGTGCCTCGGGCCCAAGGAGGGGCCCCTACAGATCTCCACTCCGCTCGGGAGCTCCCGGGGCACTCTGGGCTTCGTGCTGGGCGCGCTGCTCAGGGGCAGCGCTGGGGGGAGGAGGGGCTCAGCTCGCCGCGTGGGGACGGGGGCCCGACGGCGAGCGTCAGCGCCGCCGCCGCCGCCGCCGACGACAGCGGCAGTGACGACGGCGGCGATGGCGATGCCACTGGCGGCGGCGACGCCGATGGCCAGCGGCGGCGACGGCAACGGCGATGGCGTTGGCAGTGGTTGTGCCGCGGTTGCCTCGCGCATCCCGGCGGGGCCACCGTGGTGACGCCTTCGAAAGGTGGGGGTGCTTCCCTGAGGAGCAGTCGCGCTTGCGAGGACGGAGGTGGCGGCGGCGAGGGTGAAGACTGCGACTGCAGCGGCGGCGGCGGCGGCAATGGCGGCAGCGGTGGCCGCGGTGCGTGGGGCGCAGGCACCCGCGATGGTGGCCACCGCGGCGGCGGCGGCGGCGGCGGTGTGGGCCGCGGCGGGCGTGATGGCTGCCCTGCAGCGGCGGTGGCTGCGGCAGTGACCCCAGCGGTGGTGGCGAGGCGTGGTGGCGCAGGCACCTGCGTTCCCAGAGCCCCGACGTCGCGACGTTTGTCGCAACGCCGACCCCAGGGATGTCTGGACCCTCTCCCTGGGGCCCGGCTTCTCATCCCGGGTCGTTCTCGACGGTCCCGAGGCCCGGGCAGGGACCCCCCGGAGGCCGAGACTTGCGAGAATATCTTCCCGTCGCAGTTTTGTCCACAGCGCGAGGAGGTCTGCGTGTTGGTGGCCCTCGCGGCGGCGGCGGCGTCGGCCGCGGCGGGCGCGACGGCGGCGAGGGCTTGGTCAGCGTCCTCCTCCTCCTCCTCCTCACCTCCCGCTCCCTCCTCCCTCCTCCCTCCTCCTCCTCCTCCTCCCTCCTCCTCCTCCTCCTCCTCCTCCAGGCTCCTCATCAATCATCCGCCGCCTACTACTAATCCTGCCCTACAGGCTCACTCCTATTCCTCCTCCTTCCCTCCTCCTATCCTCCTCCTCCTCCTCCTCCTCCTCCTCCTTATCTCCTCCTCCTCCTCATCATCCATCCTCCCTCCTCCTCCTCCTCCCTCCTCCTCCTCCTCCTCCTCCTCCCTCTCGCGAGGGGGGGACGCGCGCGCTGTGCGTGATCCCCCGGCGCCCCCGCCGCGGCGCGCGCGCTCGCGCGGGGAGGAGTACGAGTCGCGGGTGCAGCTGCGCACCAGCGAGGAGGCGCGCTCGACCCCCCCCTGCTCTCTCTGCGAGGAGGGTCGCGGAGAGAACAGCGGCAGACACGGAAGTTTTGAGGCGCCCCGCGCTCAAGAGCCTTGAGACGGGGGTCAATGCAAACGGGGGTCAGCCAGGGCGCCAGATCTTGCAGGATCCTGCAGTGCCAGGGTCGCATTGACCTGGGTTTGTGTGCAGGATCCTGCAGGATCTTGCAGGACCCCTCGCATTGACCCGGGTTTGGGTGCAGGATCTTGCAGGATCTTGTAGGATTCTGCAAGGCTTGACTGACCCGGGTCTGGATTGACCCGGGTCAGAATGTCCCCGACGCGCGGGGTTCTTGGATCCGCGCTGGGCCTCCCCCGGCGGCGCCTCTGGCGCCGCCCCCTGCGCGCTCCGCGCGCCAGGGAGGGGTGCCCAGCGCAGATCCAAGAAGTCCGCGCGGAGCGCCAAAGTTTATGCTCATGGCGCTGTTCTTTTGTTTGTCTTGGTTTCGTTCCTCGCCGACCTCTTCTAGGGGAGGGGAGGGAGAGGGACAGGGCACTGAGCGTTTCCGCCTTCTTCTTCTCCTTCTTCTTCTTCTTCTTCTTCTACTAGACAGGGGAGGGAGAGGGACAGGGCACTGAGCGTTTCCGCCTCGGTCTCGCCCCCCGGGGTGCGTGGCGGGGCCCCGCTGCCACCTCGAGCACGCGCGGCCCCAGGGGCGGAGGCCTGCCCCCCCCGGGGGAGAGGCCGGAGCCCCTGGGGCCGCGCACGGCGCAGGGCGATCACGTCGTCGGACGTTTGGGGCCGAGGCGCTGAGAGGGGGAGGGACGAGGAGGGGGGGGGAGGAGGCGGAGGAGGAGGAGGAGGAGGAGGAGGAGGAGGAAGGAGGAGGAGGAGGAGGAGAGAGGAGGGGAGGAGGATGAGGAGAGGAGGAGGAGGAGGAGGAGGAGGAGAGGAGGAGGAGGAGGAGGAGAGGAGGAGGAGGAGAGGACGGAGGAGGAGGAGGGAGGAGGAGGAGGGAGGAGGAGCGAGGCGAGGAGGAGGAGGAGGGGGAGGGGGGGGGAGGGGGTGGGGAGGAGGGGGAGGAGGAGGAGGAGGAGGAGGAGGAGGAGGAGGAGGAGGAGGAGGAGGAGGAGGAGGAGGAGGAGGCTCGGCTCGGAACCCTTGGGTGCGGTCAGACGGAAGTCTCGAATCAGCCTCGCACCTGGGCGTCGCTTCGCGACAATCGAAATGAGGACTAGTCAACCTTGGTGGCCACCATGGCCAGTCGGGCTCCGCCCGCACGGCCCCAGGGAGCGGCCCGCCGAATGGCGCGCAGCCTGGCGGGTGCCCCCCTCACGGGGACCAGCTCGCGGATCCGTCACTCCCGACCCCCCACCCTCCAACGTCCCACCCGTCCCATCCTCGAGCCGATCCCCGTGAGTGCTTCTATTGCTGTTGAGCGCCGCCCCGACTTCCCTCGAGGAGTGAACCTCCCGTGCGGGGGGTCGGTGTGCACTACCCGAGGAACGCCTTCAAAAATTGGGTGCAGGGGCGGCGGGCAGAGACTGGCTCGAAGCAGCGTCCCTCCCGCCAACCGCTCCTTTCCCTCTGCGTGCTCGGCGGGTCGGACTCAGCACTTGCACGGCGGACGAGGGCATGAGCGGTGAAGCATACACCGTCGCCACTCTCGTCGAGGACAAAACTGCAGGGCTGACAATACCCTTTGCAATCAAGGCTGCCAGCCTCTCACTGCTGGCCATTAGAACTGATTGAGAGCCTGGAGCAAACTGCCTGCCTCTCGCTCCAAGGGGCCCCTCGGAGCTGGGCCGTGCACCGCCTCCGCCTTCTCCACTTTCACGAGGTAGTCCACCAGGATCGGGTACTGGGAGTTGGCGGACGGCACCCTCGAGTTCAGCACGAACGAGAGGACCCCCTTGGCTTCCTCGCCCGTGGTCCTCGCCTTGCGATACTTGCAGTGGAGGCTCTGCTCCGCGATCTCCTGTGGCTTCTTGGCGGCGGTGACCTGCTGCCAGTACTCGAGGAAGATATTGTGCCCGTCTGCCTTCGGAGTCCCTCCCCCCGGCGCCGTGATCTCCATGCTGCGCTTGATGATGGCGCCGAAGAGGTGGACGTGAGGCGGCCCGCGGGCCTTGAAGTCGACCGACTCCCCGCCCGCGACCTTCTCGCGGAGCCTCTTGCTCTCGCCGTCGTAGTCGATGCCGCTCTTGCGGCACACCTGCCCGAGGCTGCCCTCGGCCTCGCTGATGAACATCGTGGTGTAGCACACGCTCTCGAGCTGCGCCGCCTGTCGGGCCGTGGTGAGGGCCAGCTTCGCGATGATGACCAGCAGCTGGTCGGCCTTCTCCTTGTGGTTGCCTGCCTTGCCCCGCTTCGGGCGCGGCGCCGATGCAGGGGGCGAGGCCGCCCTCACCATCCAAGAGGGCATCGCCACGTCCGAGGTCATGGCGAAGTCGCTGCCGCGCGAGGAAACACGCCCCCGAAGAAACCGACCAGGGAAGATGAGCCCGAAGATGGCTACAGAGGTCGTCGTAGTCAGCCGACTCGTACGAGCAAATGCGGCACCCAAGATCCCTCGGTTCAACTCTGGTCGCAATCGCACTCGGCCCTCTCGTTCCGCAATGCCCCCCTAAATATCGAACCCTCAAGGTGTCGATAGGCCGTTTGCCTACTCCAGAAAATCTTCCTACACGCAATACATTCGTTGGACGGGCAAAGCAGAGCAGCTAAATTATACACACCGTGCTTGTGCCTCAAGTGCTCAGTGAGCCCCCGCTTCGTGCAGAAAGAATCGTCACATTGCGTCCCCTCCCCTTTCGGCCAGGAACACACGTACGGGGCAACAGGGCCGGGGAGGGGGCCGAGCCCACCAGGGGCCCCAGGGTCAGAGACACCGCAAAGTGGGCCAGGGGGCGCAATAGTGACCGTGAAATGGTGACTACGCAGACGTCTGAAATCCAGGCGAACGAACTCCTCAGATAATTCTTTATCCTCGATGAGGAGCCAGGGACGGTCCGCGACACGCAAAAGCACATCCCTGTCGTCGGGCATGACATCGATCGCGGCTCGAACGTCGTCCTGGATGCGTTTGGCCCAGGGACTCGCAAACTGACTAAGGCCATCCTCTGTACACGGCCGCTTTTCCGCAGGTTCAAAATCAAGGGCCCCAAAGAGCATTGCTAAAACGTGCGCGTGCACCCGAGTCCGAGAGGCCCAAGAATGATACCAGCTTAGCCTGCGGATTCGGAGCTCCATTTCGCACTGCACTAATTGCCAGGAAGCCAAGATCTCTTGAGAACACATGCGGGCAGTGACCTCCCCCTGTTCGTTGCGTTCACATGCGGCACCGTGCATAGCAATCTTACAGAGGGAGGCGAGACAGTGATCCAGGAGCGCGTGTTGACGGGGGCTGAGTAAAAAAAAAAAAAACTTCAAGTGCCGACAGGAGGGTGTTTTGCACTAAACCGATCAGTGCCGTGCGCCGCCAGCGTCGCGGCGTGCTGGCAGACCAGAAACCTGCTATGGCATAGACGGCGGCTCGGGCAGCCGCCATCCTACGCTCCACCTCGATGGCAGCTGAGGCGTCCTGCGTGACGATCGGCCCCAGGTACCTCGTCGCCTCCTCGACTCGTCCGTCGACTCGTCCCCGTGCGATGGCATGCTGTAGCCACCGCTTGCACTGCTGCGAGCCCGTCCCCTGGATCAAGAAACACGCCACCTGCTTGTCGCGATTCTGCGCCATCCCATATTGCGTAAGGCACTCGTCCAGGATGTCATCGCTGCTATTCATCCTCCTGAGGGCCTCGTCCATGTCACAACCGACCTCCAAGGGTATGACGCGATACAGGTCATCGGCGTACTTGGCCAACGAGACATCCATGGTGAAGTCCTCGAAGCCCCCGCGTAGCGGTCCCGTGATCCCCACCATCGACAGTCGTTGGGACCACATGTCAACGGGGGCGACAAAGGCCGCCGCGAACGCCTGCGCCACGAACGGGTCCCCCATGAGGCCGCCCTCGCCCGTCTTCAAGAAGAGGACCCCGTCGCTCGTGTCCACCTCCACGACCGGCAGGCGGTGCCTGTCACGGCAGAGCGTCTGGTTCTGCGGCTCCACCAAGCCCTCGTCTAGGATGACCTCATCGAACCTTTCCCAGGACACGCTGCCGAAGGCGTTCGCCATGTCCTTGAGTGTTGCCACCCACGACCAGCCCGACTGCCTCAGGCACCGCGCCAGAACCTGGGTCGCCAGCAGAGCTCCCTCCCTACGTCGGTGGGGTGCGAATCCGTGATCCTGTGGGGCCAGCTGCGCTTTGAGCTCGTACGCGAAGTATCCCTTTCCCACAGCGGGAAGGGAGTGAATAACTCTCCTTCCCTTCATACCAGGCTTGTCGTTCTTGGCGAGTCCGATGCCCATGCTGCGGTGCCAGTGCAGGGGAGTCTTTTCCGCGCGCCTGATCAGCGTCAGCGCTCGCAGGAGGGTCTCGTCGAACAACTGCATCCCCTGCGCCGTCCTCTCGAAGCCCACGCCGTGGGGCAGCTGATCCATGGCCCTGTCAGGCCAGAGGCAGAGGTCCCAAAGCTCGAGCGCCGCCGTGCCAGTTGGAACTGTGCGCCTCTTCTTGGCGCGCCGAACGTAGCGCCTCAGCTCCTTGAAGTCATCCTGTGCGTAACCAATGTCCATGGGGTCGGCAGGTGGGGCGGGGGGGGGTGCCAGTTCTGCTTGCGCGCCACTCACTCCAGTCGACTTCGTGTGCCCTCATACCTCCCTGGGCGCCAGGCCTCCCCCACGCCTCGACCCAGTCCGACCGTGGCAGCGGGGGGGGGGCCAAGGCGGCGTCCGTCTCGTCGCTTCGCGCCCAGTCGACAGTGTCCAAGTAGTCGTGAGAGACGCATCGCCTCGGCCGTGTCCCTCTTCTCCCAGGCCTCCCGTACCTCCTCCTGGAGCTGGTTCCTCTCTGCGATCCTGCGGGCACGGTGCTCCAGCTTCAGCTCAGCCGAGAGCGTCTTGAGCTCAGTCTCCAGCTCCCGAAGTCGGTCCTCATCTGCTTCTAGTCGTTCCCGTCGAAGCCGGGAGCGTTCCTGGAGGAGCTCGCGTCGTCTAGCACATCGTTGGCTGCGCGCCTCTCCCCCATGTGGCCCCCCGAAGTGCGCGGCGCCCGCCGCCGTGAGGATGCTCTCCAGCTCCTCCCAAGCAGCGTCGGGCGTACCCTCCATCATACATACGTCGATATATTCACTTCTTTCCCCAATCCGCCTCAGCATATCCTCCAAGAACTCCTTTTTCCCCTTCCCGTGGCGGACCGCCTGCATCAACCTCGTGCAGTCAAGGCGCTGCGGGGGCATGGGCGGCAAGGCCCAGGCATCCTTTTCGTACTCAAGCTCGAGCAAGAGGGGGAGGTGGTCCCTCGGAGGCGCCCCTGGTAGCACTTGCCACTGCGCTCCCAGGCCGTGCAGAACATGACGGCGCAGCACACGGGGAAGCCAGCCCAGTGGGATGAAGAAGTGATCGATGACCGAGCCCAAGGGCGGTGTCCTGGTCGTATAGAAGGTGTACTCAACTTTGTCTGCGAAGGTGGACGGGGCGGCCATATGCTGGGTGCCCAACAGGCCCCTCACCAACTCTCCCGCACCTCCTCGTCGCTGCTCTCGACTGCGAAGATGTCCAAGGGCCTGGGACGGCTGTGTAGTCCATCCCCCAACCTGCTTCTGGATCCCCAAACCGTCGTTCAGGTCGGCGTAAAAAATTGGAAGCGTCCTCGTGTAGGCGCCTCCTGGAGTATCTGCTGCCACCAGTCTCGCAGCAACTTCGCCGTGTGTAGGTAGCGGCTGACCTGGATGCGCTCCCTCGGTTGCGGCGGGAAGTAGATCACCCCCACCAAGATGTCAAGGCAGCCCTTGCGAATCCGAGTCGCTAGGGCCCGTCCTCCTGCTCCTGGAGGCGATCCCCATGTACGGACAACGTGGGAGTCGCGGAACCTCTCCCCCAGGGCGATGGCGCAGCCCGCGCTGTGGTTCGTGTACGCCCCCTCAGTGTACGGCGCCTCCAGCACAAGTCGACCTTCACACCGACGACGGAGGACTCCCTCTCCTCCAGAGTGGCAGTGCACCTTGGTGCCCGCGAGGAGGAGGGCGTCCGCGGCGCGGCAGCCGATCAGCAGCTCCGAGAGCCTGGCCCCCACAGCGTGGAGCGGGTTGAACGCCAGGAGGCGGAGAGTCGATCTCAACGCTGGCGCCATGGCGGCTCGCGCAGGTCCTGTGGGAGGACGACCTGCATCAACTTTGCCTCGGTGTGAGGTGCCCCCAGTCCTTCCAAACAGGCCAGAACCAGAGGGGCTGGAGGAGGAGGAGGAGGAGGAGGAGGAGGAGGAGGAGGAGGAGGAGGAGGAGGAGGGGGGGGGGAGGGGGAGAGGGGAGGGGAAGGAGGAGGAGGAGGAGGGAGGAGGAGGAGGAGGAGGAGGAGGGCCATTCTCCGCCCGGGGCGGAGCGCTCTCAAGGGTGACGGCGCCGAGCGCGACCGCCCGCAGGGCTCGTGCGGCGAGGGCCCGACGGCCCGCGTGGGGTCCAGAGGCCCCGCCTGCGCCCGGGGGGGGCGGCCCGCATCCGGGGGCTGCTGAGGGCGTCTCTTAAGGCATCGTTCGGACGTGTGCATTTTCTGGGTGTTCGGCGAGGACCCTGGAGGAGCATCTCGGAGCAGGCTCGCAAGACTCGGCGCAGGACGTCGGAGAACACACGGGACACGGACGTCCGAGCGAGGGCAAGGTCAGTGGCCAAGGTTGTCTCTCTTGGCATCCTGCGGACGTGTGCGTTTTTTTTTTTTGGTGCTCGGCGGGGACCCTTGACAGGGGAGCAAGAAGTGGCATAAACATAAAAACTCGGAGGTCCGCGCGGATTTCTCGGATCGGCGCTGGGGCCCCCCGGCGGCGCCTCCGGCGCCGCCTCTGGCGCGCTCCGCGCGCCAGGGAGGGGGGTCCAGCGCCGATCCGAGAAATCCGCGCGGACCTCCGAGTCTGTATGCTTATGCCACTTTTTGTTCCCCTGAAGTCTGACAGTCTTCGGCCTCCTCGGGCCCTTGCCGGGCCTCAGGAGCGTCAAGAAGCGACTCGGGACGAAAAACCGGTCCCGGGGAAGTGGTCCGGACCTCGGCTCCGGCTCAGGCTCGCGAGACTCGGCGCAGGGCGTCGGAGAACACACGGGGCAGGGGCGCGTCCGAGCGAGGGCTGAAGGCCTGTGGCCCCGGGTGCCCCCCCGGCTCCTCGTGCCGCTCTGGGGCCCTCCGGGGCCCTCCGGTGCCTCGTGCGGGCTGCTCCGGGGGCCACCTGGCCCGCCCGGGGTCTCCGGGGCACACACTGGGCCTCCTCCTCCTCCTCCTCCTCCTCCTCCTCCTCCTCCTCCTCCTCCTCACCCCCGTCCCCGTCCCTGTCCTCCCCTTCCTCCTCCACCGCGTCT